CAAGGGTCAGCTAATAATAACATCCTCAAAGTAAGGAGTTGTGGTGGCATGGTCCATTGGGAGTGGTTCTGCTAAATCAAAAAGGAAATCTCTCTAGAAGTTCAAGTCTGCTCTCAGCTCTAAAGGATAATGATAGACAATCTCCTCCAGTGTGATTTATAGCTTCTGAAAACCCACTTGGAGGTCAGATATGAGTTGCTCCAACTTGGTGGTCATGAGTTAAATTTGAACCACATAAGGATGCCACACTCCTTATTAACATTATTAACAAGCTACCTAGTTTCCTTACTGAGCCACACATAGTTCATATGTGCACCATCCTTGGGTCCACAATTAACACCCTTAATACCAGCAGTTAAGCAATCAAAAGATGAGTTGCACTTGGAAAAATATGCTGTCAAGGAATTCTCCAAAATGCTAAAGAGTAATGATATCAATTTAAAGACTAAGACACATCTGATCCAAACCATGTTCTTTCCAGTTCTTTCCTGTGTATCTAAAAGTTGAACATTGACTAGAAAAATAACTGTTGCCTTTGAGTTGTAATGTTGGAGAAGAGTCTTGGATATCCTATGGACTACCAAACAGTTTTGTTCTGGAAAAGAGAAATCAGGATGCTCCTTGAAGACAAGGATGTTGAAACTCTGTCTAATTCTTTGAGCATGTTGTAGGGAAAGATCAGTGCTTGGAGAAGGACATCATGCTTGAAAAAGTAGAGGGTTAGCATAAGAGAGGCAGACTCTCAATGAGGTGAGATGATACAGTGACTAACTATAAACTCAAGTGTGTTGGAGATGATGGAGGATGACACAGGACAGAGTAAGATTCAGAGTTGTTATATATAGAGTCCTTATGAATCATAGTGAACTTGGTGACACATAACAACCACCCAGTGGGGAAGTAAACTTGAAATCTAACAACAAACACACCACCATTTGATGAGAATTGCAAAGCTTGTGGACAGAAGGGCCATGTGGGTGATTAACTGCATCTCTAAGTGAAAAGATATATAAATATTTAATTGTCTTAAATATTTTAGTTTCTTTTTGGAATTTAGTGCTTTGAAGACCAGTCAAATTTAACAAATTAATGTATAAGTCAGATTATATTCCCCCACACACACACATGCCCATGACATGCATTAAGCAATTTAGGAAACAATTTACAAATATTGCACTGGAACGCTGAGAAGCCAAAGCAAAAATGGGGGGTGGGAGGGAAAGGAGAAATTACCAAGTTAAAGAGCTGAACAGAAGATCTCAAAGGGAAGATAGAGGAAAATACTATAAGGAAAAGTACAAAGTGCTGGAGTAAAAATATCAAAAGAGATGAATTTGCTCAGCATTTCTTAAGCTGAAGGAACTGAAGAACAAATTCAAACCTCAAGTCGTAATACTTAAAAATGTGATGAATAGAATATTGAATGATCCAGGAAGTATCAAAAGAAGATGGAAAAATTCAATGTGCCAAAAAAAAATTGGGTGACACAGAACAATTTCAGAAGTAGAATATGATCAAGACATAATGGTAATAAAGGAGGAAGTTCAAGCTGCTCTGAAAGAATCAACAAGAAGAATAAGGCCCCACAAACTGATGGAATACCAATTGCAATATTTTAACAAACAGATGTAGCCCTGGATGTGCCAGGCTGTGACAGGAAATCTGGAGAATAGCTACGGGCAAACTGACTGGAAGGGATTCATATTTATTCCCACTTCCCCCTCCAAAAAGTGATCCAGCAAAGTTTGTAAATTATTGAAAATATTATTAATATCACATGCAAACAAAATTTTGCTGAAGATTGTCTAACAATTACTAGTACAGCAAATATATTGATAGATAACTGCTACAAATACAAGCTGGGTTTAGAAGTGGTTGTTGCACTAGGGATATCATGGCAGATATGAGATGGATGTTGGCTAAAAGCAGACAGTTCTAGAAGAATGTCTATTTGTGTTTTACTGGATATGCAAAACTATTTAACAGTATGCACCAAAACAAATTGACTGTATGGGTCAAAACAAATTGTGGCTAACACTGAGAAGAATGGGAATCCCAAAACATTTCATTGTGTTCATGCTATGCTTTAAATCAGGAAGCTGTCATATAAATAGAGCAAGAGAACACTGCATTGTTCAAAATCAAGAAATGAGTACATCAGGGATGTATCCTTTTTCCAGACCTTTTCAATCTATATACTAAAAAGATTTTTTAGTAGTCTGGACTTTATGAAGAAGAATGCGACATCTAGATTGGAAGAAGATTCATCAACAACTTGCATTATGCAGATTACACAACCTTACTCATCAAATCTGAGGAGGTATTGAAGAATTTGCTGCAGAAGGTTAAGGACTGCAGTCTTAAAGATGGATTGCATATCAATATCAAGAAAATAAAGATTCTCACCTGCACCAATTGGCCACATCATAATGGACAGAGAAGAGACTGAGGTTGTCAGCAATTTCACCTTGCTTGGATCCATAATGAACACTCTTGGCACCAGCAGTCAGGAAATCAAAAGACAAATTGTTTTCTGCTGTCAGAGAAAATCTGCTGTTAGAGACCTCTCAAGAGTATTAAAAGAAACTATGCCAGTCTAGAAATGAAGGTGTACCTGATCCAGGCCACGGTCTTCCTAATCGCCTGCTGTGCTTCTGAGGACTAGACATGAATAAGGATGACAGAAGAATTAGAAGCTTTTGAGTTGTGGTGCTGGAGAAGAGTATTGAACATATTTTGGACTACAAAGAGAAAAAACAGTTTTGTCCTAGAGAGGGTGAAGCCAGGTTGCTCCTTGGAGGCAAGGACTCTGAAGCTCCATTTCACGTATTTTGAGCATGTTGACAAGGAGGAACCAGTCCTTGGAGAAAGACATCATGCTTAGGAGGGTAGAAGGTCAGTGAAGGACAGGAAGACTATGGACAAGATGGATTGACACAGTAATTGTGTCAATGGGGGCAGGTGCGTCAAACAGTGAGATTGGCTCAAGATAGGGCATGGTTCAGAGCTATTGTTCACAGAGTCGCTATGAGTCACGGTCGATTCTAATGCATATAACACCAACAAGAATTATATTTGTACCTCTCTTCTGTAAAATGAGAATTTAAATAATACCAACTTCTTTCAAACACAAAGTCTAAAGTAGAAAAAGCTAATTTGACATGTAGAAACTTCAAGATTTACAGCTAGCTATTTACAAACTGTAAGACTAACTTTTTAGATTTTCTGTGTTTGTACAAACCCTCTCCGCGCAAATATTTTTTTAGAAGCAGATGGAGAAAATGCAATGTTACTGATATTACAGCACATACTAAAAGTTTAACCTTTGCAAAATATGCCATCCCAACTAGGGCAATTTCTTTGACCAGCGAAATCTCCATGGTCACGTGGTCATCCACAGTTAGAAATACAGACTGCGGGGTCAAGACTACTCAAAATGCTACAGCAGTTTTTGTGCTCTGTGCTTGCCCCTAACCAGCGTTGTATACCAATTAAATCTCGACTCATTGCTGGCTAGTCAGAACTAATTCACGTTGACCTTCCCGTGCTTTTTCGGAGACTGTCAAGAGTACAAGAGGAGACTGTCCATCCTTCTCCCACGAAGTCACTGGTAGATGAGAGTCATGAAAGAAGTGTCAATGTAAGAGCGACAGCAGTGTAACGCTCTACAGACTACATCATCAGAGCTCTGTATACAGCGCAGTTCATTATCACCTATAAATTTAAATCAACTGTCTGAGGTTTGGGAAAGTTTGCAATTTAAAACCCATCTGATTAACCAAGCTCAAGTTTGTTTTTTTTGTTTTGTTTTTTTTTTGTTGTTGTTTTTTAAAGAAAGGCGAATGTTTATCAATGTATACAAAGAGTAGAGGAAGATACCCTATGTTTATTTGTTTCTTCATCAATTTATTTTAGCTAGAAAGGAAACTATTGAAGGGAAAAATAAGTATAAAGATGTTCAAACATTGTAAAAATGCAAAGAGTTGTTTTTAGAACTAGAAAGAGCTTAAGCTTAATAAAAGGCTTTTTCTCAAGAAATAACACAGGAAATTAGTTCATGAGATATTTCTGATGTCATAGTGAAAAGTAAAACCACATAATATAATTAGCAGCCTCAACCTAATGGATTGAGAAATTATGGTACATTCACGTGATGGAATACTACGCAGCATGCAGGAGCAATGATTTTGTAAATCACTACCTAACTTGGGCTGGAAGCAGGAGCGGCATCCACTTCCGAAATGGCTTGCCTCTGGAAACTCTATGTACGAACAGTGCTCAGGCCGTTCGTTCATAGGGTCGCTATGAGTCGTCTACAACTCGACGGCATCAAACAACAACAACCACCTAACTTGGGAGGGACTAAGAACATTATGCTAATGAACTAACTCAGTCCCATAAGGACAAACACTGTATAAGACTGTTATTGTAGAAATAGATAACTAATAAAACATCTATAAGGATCTAAGGGGGGGAGGAGGAGCAGAGGGGTGAGGATTGGTGGGGAGCTAATCATAGGGTGGCACAATCTGATGGGTGGGGGGAGGGTGGTTTAAGAAAATGGGAAAGATCTGGTGTGAAAAATAATGTATACAAACTTTGTAAGTAAACGAGTATAAAATTTAAAAAAATTATATTAAAGAAAAGAAATAAGGAAAATAACAAAGTGGAAATAAGACCCTGAAGGTGGGTATTGCATATTTTCCTGTGCAGTTTTCATTACTTTCACGTTATTCTTTCCATCACCAAGTTAGAGAGGTTAGTTTCTGAGAGGTGTTTGCCTTCCTTAGTGGCTTCATCTCCCCCTGTTGTCCAAGCTGTTGAAATACAACATTCTGGAAACCTAGCAAGGCGTTCTCTTTCTGTTGTTTGTAAGCTGACATGAGGTAGACAAACACCTTCTGAAGTTTTATTCATGCTGTGTTTCTTCTCCTTGCTGCAACAAGAAAAGCCTTTTCTTTTAACCTGGCTGCCTTTGAAGAAGTGATTCAGACAACGTCATGGCCTCTAAAGGTAAGTATAATCTATTAATAAATTTTTCCTTATATTGAGACTTTGAAAATAGTCATAGAAGCATCACAATCAGATTGATTCACACTTTAAACACTGTCATTGAGCACTTTTGAACATTGGAATTCAAACTTTTTAATCTCAGTAAACTTCATGCTTTAAAACAAATTATGCCAAAAAAAACCCAAACAAATTATGCCTAGTAAAACACAAAAACAAAGCTATAAACAACAATTTAGTGATTATTAGTATAAACATAGCATATATATAAGAAAAGCTGTATAGTAAAACTCAAGATGGAAATCTAAAGTAATTGGTATTTAATTTGATGGACTATAAGCAATATTTCTGAATTTTGGAAGCAAAATCTTTCAAATTTTTTTGATAGCAAATTAAGTGTACATATGAGAAGAATAGTTTCTTAACTTAGCAGATTAATTGTAGAGCTAATAAGATTTTCATCAAATATCTGAAATGATAGAAATATTATTAGTGTTACTTTAAGTCAAAGAAGTTCTCACAAGACAATGATGTGACTATTTTTTAAGGTAAAGTGTTTCAATCTTACTAAATTTTTTTCTGAAACTTAAATAAAAAAGAAATGCCATTGGTTTATTTCATTAAAAAAGCAAAACTTTAAACTCTAGACTACAATTGGAAGCTTTAGCATAAGAAATTAATATCAGTATGATTAATGAAAACATATTAACCTAGTTACAAATGGGCTAAGAGTGAATCAAGTTGTAATTAGCACATTTAATTTAGGATAATTAAAATGACTATACATTTGAACAAATGTATATTCTTACCAACCATTCAAAGCCTACATTTGGAATAAGCAAAGTAATCTTTTCATTTTTCATCAGCATTTAGTGCAGACTAAGTAAGTTATCAGTGGAAAAATTCAAACAAATTTTATATATTTTATAATGTAGATATACAATAGCAAAATCATTAATTTTAATATGTATGCTTTGTTTTCTTAATATTTGAAGACAAACAAAAATATCTTGACAAGTTTTTTTTTTCCTTAAGACTGTCACTAACACGTAAGCTAAAGCATTTCATCGCTTTATAAGAGTTGCAACAACTCTAGCCTGTGAGGTAAAGAGTTTCAGAGTATGTAAAATATTTATAAGCTACTTATACATTTTTAAAAGAGTAGATAGAAATTCAAAGCCAGATAGAAATTCAAAGAAGTTCCTCCTTCATGTGGTGGTCTGACTCTTTGAAGAAACTAGTGACTGGAAAGCAACATATGATCAAAATAAGATTAATCTACCAAAAATACAGTGATCTCAGTAATGATAAGGACCTCAACTTAAGACTAAACTCAAAGGCAAAAATATTCAGAAGAAAGACTTACAGTCCTTTTGTAGCCTACTCCAAATACTTAACATATAAGTGGATAAAATGTCTATTGCTGTTGTTTTGTGCCAGATTTATAGTGATCCCTGTGAACATTAGCTCTGAACCCTGCTCTACCCTGAGCCAATCTCATTGTTTCCAACACACCTTACTCCATTACCACAGTCACTGCATCAGTCCATCTCATCCAGGATCTTCCTTTTCCTGTGCTGACGCTCCATCTTTAGAACTTTATTATTTAAAAGAATTGAAGTGAAGAAAAAAATGGTGTGTGTTTTTTTAACTAGAAATCTTGCTTGAGATATTAAGTCATGTAATTATTATTTATCTGCAGCATTTCTGTGAGCAGTTTTCTACAATATTAGGAGTTAAATGTCATATGTCTATACAGACTCAATACAGCTTTGACAATAAATAAAGTGAAAACTTTAATACTTGCAAAACATTCTATAGTATAATTTTAAATGTTTAGACTCTATGGAACTTCTGTATTGTATATATTTTTATGTGACATTTCCTACAAGCATATTAAAATTCATTATTTCTAATATCATGATATTCGCTGACCCATGAAACTGTATTGTCAATTAGCATTTTCCCAAGGACTACAGGCTAATTGAATATTTCACACACTTGGTAGGCATGTCAATGAGCTTCATCAAACCACAGGATGGAGTCTTCGAGGTCTGCAAATGGTTAACCCTCTCATGATCCACTGAACACATAATATACTCTCTAATATTTTTATCTCAGGTTTCTGAGGCAGCTTCTGTCCTCACTGTAGTACATGCTACTGCCTGGTGGGATGCTTTGTGAACCTGAAGAAATGGACTTCACCTCACCGTTTCTAACAGTCCTTCCTAGATGATCTATCAAAATCCATGTTTCCTCAAAAATTATTTTTTTCTATTACTGGGAAATGAACTCTTGTGGTACAATTGATTAAGCATTGGACTGCTAACTGAAGGGTCAGCAGTTCAAACTCATCAGCTGTACCAGAGGGAGATGTGGCAATTTGCTTCTGAAATGCTTTACCACCCTGTTGTTGTGGATCACCTAGTCAGAATGGACCTATAGCTGACCCGCCAGCAGGTTTTCAGAGGCAGTTAATCGCATGGGAGGAACCACGTGCCTTTGGGGATTGTACCACAGCTTCTTGCTACTAGGCCGCCAGAGTGCACCCCAAAACGCAGTTGTACTCCATCCTATAAGGCCAGTATGACTTGTTCAACAGCAGTGGGCTTGTTTTTTTATTTCTTTCCATTTACATAGGCTAAGCACTGAGCTGTTAACACACAATTCAGGAATTATAAATACCATAATTCAGGGAGGAGGTATCTAGTACCATTTGCCATGTCTTTCTTTATTGTGGAATAAAATTCTCATTCCTTTGCATGGATGTTTTACTTAAAAAACAAACAAACAAAAAACAAACAGACATTTTCAGAAATAATTTAACCAAATAATTTTACTTTCCCTTATAACCACTTCCAAGATGGTTCCACAGTCTTTTGGCCCTAGTGGCCAAACTATGGTGACAAGAAGTAGTGAAAATAAAGAAAAGACCACTAAAAGACCAGTTAGTAAAAAATAACTTACTCTTTGAAAGAGAAATAACAGAAAAAATAAAACCGAGAAAGACTAAAAGAAAAGCAGTGGTTTACTGCTAAATAAATGGTCTCAGATTCTAATTGAAAAGTAAGCCATTCCAAACCTCCAGCCACCACACTAAAGATGCAGTTAGCTGTTTCCCTAAGATTGTTGTTACATTATCAGGTGCTGTTGGGTCTAACCCATACTGACCACATATATAACAAGGGAACACTGTCTGGTCTTGTATCATCGTGATGACCTGGGCTATGCAGTCATTATGCAAATCCATCTTAATTAAGACATTCCTTTTTTTCCTGACTACTAAGGACTGGTACCTTCTTAGAACCTCTTCAAAGAACATGAGATAAAGTCTCACAATCCTCCCTTCTGAGGAATAGTCTGGCTGTATTTCTTCCGAGACAGATATGCTCATTCTTTCAGCAGTCCAGTGCATAAAACTTCGTGCCCATACCATAATGATAAGATTTCAGTTCATCTTTCTTGTTGTTCTTCTTTGTCATCAAGTCAGAATCAATCCATAGTTGATCCTCCAGTGGGTTTTCAGAGGCAGTAAATTGCACGGAGGATACAGCCTCACAGCTTACCAGTAGGCCCCTAGAGCCCCCCAAATTTTTCCTAGTCTTTATTCGTTGTTCAGTTTTCTATGTATATGGGATACTGAAAACTGGGACAGTTGTAACTCAGTCTGCAAAGTAATATCTTTACTTCTTAACCTTTTTTTAAAATAAAATTTTAACTGTGATTTTAATATATGTTTACAGAGAAGTTAGATTTTCATTCATTCATTGTTGCACATTTTACCCCCACTTTTCTTCCCTTCCCCTACTCCCAGCTCACCTTTCTTTTTCTCTTTTTTTAAATTTTATTATTTTTATGTGAGTGTACCGTCAAATCAGATCTGACTAGTACAAGAGGAGATTGTCCCTCCTTTCCAGGCAGAGTATCTGGTGGATTCGAACTGTGAGCCTCTAGGATTGTAGTTGCAGCTCCTTGCCACTAGGCCACCAGAGCTCCCCCAGTTCACTTTTCTTATTCATTTATTGTTGTACAATTGCCTACCTCTTCTCCTCCCCCTGCCCCAGTCCTCTTTGCAATGATATGGGCTGTTGTCATATGCATAATGCTTAATCATATATTCATTTTAGACAGTTCTTTCTTTCATCTGTTCCAGTATAATGGTCATTATCTATTCACTCTTATCCTATTCTCCCAATCCCCCATGTTAAAGAGGATTTTTTTTAACCTAAGATCTTCCCAATGCAATATACTATTTGATTTTTTGATTGCTACTTCTAGGTGCATTGATTGTGGATCCAAATAAAATGAAATCCTTGACAGCTTCAGTATTTTCTCCTTCGATTAGAATGCTGCTTATTGATCCAACTTTGAGGATTATCTGTTTTATTCACGATGAGGTAAAATTCATACTGAAGGCTTTGATCTTCTCAGAAAGTGGTTCAAGTCTAGGAAATCCTATGGAGCAGTTCTATTGTGTTCTATGTAGTTACTATTGGTTGAAATGTATGAATGATATCACAGCAAAGGTAAATAGAGGTTGAAATTTTCATCCTCTTACAGATACACAGAACCACAAAAGTAGAGGTCCACCTGGTTTACTTCCTGGAGCAGCTGATGCAGAACAAAACTTCAATGCCTCGTCTTTCATTTCAAGAAACCAACTCTGGCAGCCTGATCTCCCTCCACCAGGCAGTCTCCCACCAACAGTCAATCTCCCTCCTGGTCTGGAATACTTAAGCCAGGTAGATGCTTCTATCTTTCTATTTCTCTTAATGTTTCCACTTCAGAATGAATAAAAATGGCCTTCACCCAATAACTTACGAAAGTGAGGAAAATTATTACCTATCATGAAATTATAAGATTCTTATTTTTAGTGATTTATATTTTTGGCATGAATTTCTGTTCTTGCTAATTCTGTTTTTCTTATTTACTTGACATAATGGTAAGTTCAAATATTTTTGTTTGAGCTGTTTGGTAGCTCCTTTTGATCATCCCTCAAGGTGTCAGCACATTTATCCAAGAGAATTGTCTATTTTGTCATCACAACAGCTATTTCATGCAACAGTATTTCTTGAGTACATGCTATATACCCAAGGCATATTGTTGTTGCTGTTGTTGTTAGGTGCCATAGGGTTGCCTACAACTCATAGCAACCCTATGTTCAATATCTCTGAAGTCTGCCCTATTCTGAGCCAGTCTCACTGACTCTGACACACCTACACACATTACCCCAGTTACTGTGTCAATCTATCTCAGCCAGTGTCTTTCTCTTTTGTGTGGTCCCTCCACTGTTCCAAGCACGATGTCCTTCTCCAGGGACTGATCTCTCTCGGCCACGTGCTCAAAGTATGTGAGACAGAGCTTCAAAATATTCAAAAAGAAACTTGAGTTTACCCTCTCAGGACAGATCTGTTTGTTCTCTTGACCATTATATGGTCAATATTTTTCTCCAGTACCACAATTTAAAGACATTGATTCTTTGTCTGTCCTCCTTGGTCATTGTCCATCTCTCTGATACATAGCAAGTAATTGCAAAGAAAATGGCCTGAATCAGATGCACCTTTGTCTCTAGTCTGACATGATTACTCCTTAACACTTTGTAGAGGGTCCTGATAGCACATTTCCCCAACACAATTTGTCTTTTAATTTCCTGACTGATGGTGCTAAGAGTACTGATTGTGGAACCAAACAAGCTGAAATTGATAACAACATCAGTCTCTTTTCCATTTATTGTAGTGCTGTCAATTGGCCAAAGGGTGTAAAACCTTTGTATTCTTGAAATTGAGCTTCAATCAAAAATCCTAGGCAGATTCTCCTACCTTAAATATTTCACAACCTAATAATCAAGGCAATAAAGATTGTTATTGAAGAATGTGTGGCTAGATATTAATAGCACAAAAACAAATAATTGTAATCTGTGCAGTGATATACATATCCTATGGAGTGCACTTCTGCTTCACACTCATAGCTGCCAGAAGTCAGAATTTACTTAATAACATTGGATTTGGTATGATGTTTTTGTTTCTATAAAGGACAAAAATGTTACAGCTCGAGGTACTGAGAAGAGAATGCCACAAGGAGGAGTGGGCATTTCAGTCTTCACCTGAATGTCAAAGTAAAATGAAAATCCAAAGAGAGAAATTTTTCAAGTTACCATTATTGTATATGTTGTCACATAACACCAACTGACTACATGGGATGACTAGGTATAATCACTACAAGAACCCGGAGGGTGCAATGACTAAAAAGTTGAACCAGTACTCAAAAGTTTGGCACTTTAAATCCATCAGCCACCCCAGGGGAGAAAGATATGACAGTCTGCTCCCATAAAGATTCACAGGCTTAGTCTCTGGCAACTGTGCTCATCCGTACTGCCAAGGACAATTCCAAACTTAAAAAGATTCAGGTTAGATTCCTGCAAGGATTCACTGCAGTCCAAAAAGAAGATTAAGAACCTTAAGAAATGGGAGCTTTCCCACCACACAGGCTCAAAAAAGACTCCTGGCATAGCAAATTGGCTCCCTCATAAAAGGAATACTTTAAGTTTTCAATTAACAAAGAATAACATAAATAACTGTCAACAAGCTATGAAGATTCAATAGAAATGGCCTAACAAATGCCAAGAAAAACTAAGTAATATTAACAAAGCAGCAGACAGCTTCAAATATTATGATGGGGGTGGGGGAGACGAAGAAAAAAAATTAAACCTTTTCTTAAAACAAAACAAACCAAACAAACAAAAAAAAAAACAAAACAGTAGGACTGCCCTCTGGCACCTAACCACAGTGCGGCAGCCCTTCCACCAAACCCGTTTCTCATCCTTGCCAACCTCTTAGGCATGGACACTGAAGATTGAAAATGATCAGGTTGATCCCCACCCACCTTGCTGAAGCCAGGGTAACCCTTCAGATAGCAGACAGCTACTCTGGGAACACGCAGACAGCTGCATACCCAGATCCTTACCTGAGGGTCTAACCAAGCAACTGAAGTCACCCCAGGAGATGCCATCCTCATCAAACAGTATGCAATCAAACCTCATCAACCATGCTAAGACACACCTTGCACAATCATCCTAGCTACCCCCACAGCAATTAAGGTCACAGGTAATGCCCATTAGTTCCACCTTTCCAGGGCAAACATGCTTATTTAGCTAAGCTGACCTCCTACATCTCTTAAATGGTGGGCCCTACTGCTCTTCACCGCACTCAGATCCCAAGCCCTAAGAAGCTCTTCATATTGTTACTAAATGCTTCCTGCCTTTTTGGATTCTTACTTAGAATTCTAGCAGGATAAAAGAAATGACCAACTTGACCTAGCTGCTGTGACATCCATATTCTCCCCTGGCTACTGGTCCCAGGCCAACCCAGTCCAGCCTCTAAGCCCCAGATCTTTGGCCCTGTTCAACAGGAATTAGCTAGAATAAAGATGTCAACCTTTTTTTCTGAAGACAAAGGCTGGGATATCAGGCCCAGACCAAGTTCAAAGGGGAAGAATGAAGGATTCAAAAATTATCAGCTTGTCAGCATAGGAGTGAATGGCCTCACCCACCTGGTTAAACCACAATGGAATGCCCTCTCTTTTATCCCTAAAGATCCTAAAAACCTGCCCAACCCACATTAGGCTCAGTTTTCCCTTGGTCTGTCTCTCTCTCCAGACCAAGGAATCCAGCCCAGAAGCCCATTAATGAAGTTTCTTTAAGTTTGTTTGTTTTTTTTTTTAAAAAGCATATTAAAAACCCAATGAATAAACCAGAGACAGAGATGGGAAAGAATTATACTGACATAAGAGTCATAAAAGCAGCTTTATAACAGGTATGCAAGGATGGTTCAACATAAGGAAAACAATCAATGTAAGTCATCACATTAACAAAGCAAAGAAAAAAAACCACATGATTCTATCAATTGATGCAGAAAAGACCTTTGACAAAATCCAACACCCTTTCCTGATTTAAAACACTCAACAAAATAGGGTTAGGGGGGAATTTCTTCAACATAGTATAAAGTATTTATGCAAACCCGAAAGCCGACATCATTCTCAACAGAGAGAGGTTAAAGGCATTCCCTTTAAGAACAGGAACTAGGCAAGGATGCCCACTCTCACCTCTCTTATTCAATATTGTATTGGAAGTCTTAGCGATAGCAATAAGCAAGAGAA